CCTGCTGTATAACAGGTACGGGAGACGGATCCCAAACCCGGATCCTGAAGCCGGATCCCAAACCCCGATCCCAAAGCCGGATCCCAAACCCGGATCCTGAAGCCGGATCCCAAACCCCGATCCCAAACCCGGATCCCAAATCCCGATCCCAAACCCCGATCCCAAAGCCGGATCCTGAAGCCGGATCCCAAACCCCGATCCCAAACCCGGATCCCAAATCCCGATCCCAAACCCCGATCCCGAAGCCGGATCCCAAACCCGGATCCCAAAGCCGGATCCCAAACCCCGATCCCAAAGCCGGTTCCCAAACCCCGATCCCAAAGCCGGATCCCAAACCCCGATCCCAAACCCGGATCCCGAAGCCGGATCCCAAACCCCGATGCCAAAGCCAGATACCAAACCCCGATCCCAAACCAGGATCCCAAACCCCGATCCCAAAGCCGGATCCCAATCCCAAAGCCGGTTCCCAAACCCCGATCCCAAAGCTGGATCCCAAACCCCGATCCCAAAGCCGGATCCCAATCCCAAAGCCGGTTCCCAAACCCCGATCCCAAAGCTAGATCCCAAACCCCGATCCCAAAGCCGGATCTCAAACCCCAATCCCAAACTCCGATCACGATCCCAAACCCCGATCACAATCCAAACCCCAATCCCCGATCCCAAAGCCGGATCCCAAACCCCGATCCCAAACCCGGATACCAAACCCCGATCACTATCCAAACCCGGATCCCAAACTCCGATCCCAAAGCCGGATCCCAAACCCCGATCCCAAAGCCGGATCCCGAATCCCGATTCCAGGTGGAAGAAATCCAAGAACCTGCTTTCTGCTTTTTCCCATGTTTATCTTTCTTTAGTGTGTAATGTTGCTGTTTGAGCATGAAAACGTTCTCCTCTATATCAGTGTCAGTGTTTCTGAAACGCCTCCATTGTAGTCTTGAGTTTCTCCCGGGAACGAACACGTCACAATATTCCTCATTATAATAATTCATACGCAGAATAAAGGGACGAGGGCCTGGTTGAGTTAGTTAGTAGTGTGTTAAACTGGTGGTTTTGGTTATGAAAAGGGGCGGGACATTTCCCAAACACACTCGAAGCTCTCGACCAATCACAACACACTGCTCCAGCCGACCAATCAGAGCACAGTGTGCTTTTCAGAAGGCGGGGCTTCATAGAGACAGGAAGTAAACAGAGCGTTACTGACAGACTGGGAAGAGAGGAGCCGCAACAATGGAGAATATGAGGAGAATAATCAACATTCAAGCAGGAAAACCTGTTCTAGTAGAGCCTGAAACACATCAAGACTGTAAAATACGGCCTTTTTAATTATTGCATGCAAAACTAAATTAAACTTTAATGTGTATCAGGTCAGTCGACTTACTATGATCGATTCAATTGAATTTTTACAATATTATTTAATAGCTATGATCATTTCAGTCTAGCTGTGCAAATGTTGCATCATCAAATAGCTTAAAAATCGGAAAGTGTGTAAATCTTTATTGGATTTCTGTCGATTCCCGTCTCATCCAGGAGCGACTGTATCCGAATGCATTGATTACAGTGATTTAAGGGAAGTCAGTGAAGACTGAGACTGTGTTTTTCTCACTCAACCCTTACAGGGAGAATTAGCTGCCCGTTTTCCACAGCGACTCTTTTATTCTCAGCACTGCTCATTTATTTTGACCTTCACATATACTTTAAGATTGATGATTAATTTAATTGGATTCAAAATGTCCATTCAGTTGGGTTACACAGTTCAAACACAAGCTAAGAAACTTAACGTGAACACAAGAGAAGATATGAAGAATGCTGTTCAATGCTGGGTTTGTTAACTCCTGTACAAACAGTGTTTATGATCAGACCGCATTGATTATAGATTTATGTCACTGTTGAAGATGTTATCTCAGCTTTCGTCTCTTCTTGCACACGTTCCCTTCATCTCTGTGTCAGAAAAGAGCGAGGAAGTTCAGTGAAAGAGGGGTTTGGCCTTTGATTGCTGTCATGGCTGAATCTCTCTCTCTCTCTTTGTCATCTTTGGCAGTTTTGTGGCTTCTTAAATAACTGTGATTTACGCCGCTGACTCCCGACTCGAGCCGCTCCTGGTTTATAGTTCTGTTTGTCCTGCTGAAGTTGCACGCTGATGCACTTCCAAACCTCCACATGACCCGTCAAAAGTTTGGACACGTGCACTGCTTATTTATTATGGTTATGAATATGAATATCTGGGAATGATTCAGTTTTATTTTTGTTTTATAATAAATATTTTGAATTAGCTTTTATTTTGATATTTTTAATGTTTATTTTTTGGTAATTTCTTTCTCTTTTTTTTTTGGTATTTAGGGTTTAATTGGTGTTTAAAAGGTTAATTTATTTTTATTTCAGTTTTAGTTTTTATTTAATAATTTTAGTGTTTCAACATAAACTTATTTCAATTTATTGCAAAGGCAACATTTTTCATTTTTAAGTTTGTTTTTAAATCAATATTTTATTTTATTAACACAAATTAATATCTGGGAATCATGCAGTAATATTTGGTTTTATTAATATCTTGAATTAGCTGAATTAGCTAAAAATGTTAATTTTTGTTGAATTTTGTCATTTTAATGTTTTTTCTTAAATACTGGGAGTAATTTTATTTTGATTCAGTTTTAGATTTTTTATTTATTTCCAGTTATTAATTTTAGAGCTTCAACTCAAACTTTTTTCAGTTTATTGCCAAGGCAACGTTTCTAATTTTCATTTAGTTTAAGTTGTTTAACTAATATTGATATTTAGTTTTATTCCAGCTTTATTTTAATTTATTTTTATTTTTATTAAACAACAATAACCCTGGAATGATGTTGTGATCAAAGCGTGACACAAAAGAAAACTCATATATATTTGAGCCTCTTCTTTGTCTGTGGTTTCTTACAGTGCTGATGAGAGATTTGACGCCGCATTTCACACCAACGTGCTGATCAACTCTTCTGGATACTGCCAGTACCTGCCGCCAGGTAAAATACTCACAAAACTCTCCATTTCTGCCTGTTATGATGATGGGATGAAGTCTTCATGTGGCTGTGTTAAGTTATCGTGCTTTCCAATTCCTCCTGGGAATGTACATTTAAAAAATCTATTTAAAATAAGTTCCACAATACATAGTTCCAAAATACCTAAAGTTGCAAAATACAGAAAGTTCCAAAATACCTAAAGTTGGAAAATACAGAAAGTTACAAAATAAATAGTTAAAAAATATCTAAAGTTAAAAAATATCTAGTTTCAAAATAGGTAAAGTTCCTAAATAAATAGTTCCAAAATACCTAAAGTTAAAAAATATCTAGTTTCAAAATACAAAAAATTCCAAAATACATAGTTCCAAAATACCTAAAGTTCCAAAATAAATAGTTACAAAATACCTTAAGTTAAAAAATATCTAGTTTCAAAATATGTAAAATAATAAAGTTCCTAAATAATAAAGTTAATAAACTTACTAGTTTCAAAATATGTAAAATAATAAAGTTCCTAAAATAATAAAGTTCCTAAAATAGTAAAGTTCCTAAATAAATAGTTCCAAAATACCTAAAGTTCAAAAATATCTAGTTTCAAAATACAAAAAAAAATACAAAATACATAGTTCCAAAATACCTAAAGTTCCTAAATAAGTTCCAAAATACCTAGTTAAAAAATATCTAGTTTCAAAACACAAAAAATTCCAAAATACATAGTTCCAAAATACCTAAAGTTCCAAAATAAATAGTTCCAAAATACCTAAAGTTCAAAAATATCTAGTTTCAAAATACAGAAATTTCCAAAATACATAGTTCCAAAATACCTAAAGTTCCAAAATACCTAAAGTTCCAAAATACCTAAAGTTCCAAAATACCTAAAGTTTCAAAATACCTAAAGTTCCAAAATACATAGTTTTAAAATATCTGTTTCAAAATACAGAAAGTTCCAAAATACCTAAAGTTCCATCTGACAAAAAAAGTAATTTAAACCGGTCTAATAGGTTATAAAAATGTAGGGGAGAACCGGGGCGAAAGTAACACGGGACAAAAGTAACAAAGCGATTTTCTCTGAGCCCTGACTACATTTGCATTTCAAGCTATGACAGCACTTTCGGCATGCAGCCAGTGACCGAGCTGCTAAATCTCACGTGATTTCATCATCGTTTCACGCGGTTAGGTCCGGAAAGCAGTTTTCCAGTATGATAAGTAAATTTCTGAAGCGGTACTTTTTTTTAATTACAAGTTGTGTTTTTCGTTTCATGTGTCACACAGTAATGATCAATCTATAGGTTATTTAGTGCTGTAACACATCCTGAAGTTTGCCTGGTCAGAGTTTTTCAGTATAAAAGTAAATCAGGTTTTTCTATAGGGAAAACAAATGTTTCTTTTGTTCCTCCTCTAATGTGGTGACTTTCTGTGTGTTGCAGCATTTATTAAAACATATTTATGTCATATTATACCAACAGAATATGGCAGATGTTTATGAGGGGGCTTTTAAACCTTAAGTCACATTTAAATCAGCTGATTTCTGTGTCACCATTTTTTTCACTCAATCTGTTTCCATTTACCCTAGTCACATTTAGGTTTTAGCCATACCTTATAGCTTTAACACCTCCACCTATGCATTTGCAGGATTTCTATCCAGATGTTTTTTATGCACATTTTAAATGTAGGCTATGCAAAAACAGCTGGACGGAAACATGACTATTGTTACATTATGTTGAGAATTTATATTATGCTAATTTTATTTTATTTTCATATTTTTCATGTTGAAAAAAACATTTTATAAAATGGATTGACAATAAAAATAAAAAATCTAAACAATTCAAGTATGTACTGTTGGGTTACTTTTGAAACATTTGATGAAACTGAAATTTAAAATGAAAACATGTAAATTAAAATTCTTTTGCAAAGATAAAGGCTAAAATATGTTTGCAGTTACATGTTAACAAGGTCATACTCGGGTATATTTAGGCAAAAAAACAAAAAAAACAAGAGTAACAAAAAAAATCTAGCTTGTATATTGTTGTGTTACTTTTGACCCACCTGTGTGTTACTTTCGTCCCAACTGATGGGGTCGAAAGTAACATGAGCAGTCTTAAGTTCAAAGTGAAATTATACTGAAGTTGTTCTACATTTTTACAAAATACCACCTGGTATTGATAGACCACACTTGTGAGTGACTGACCACAGCAAAAATATATCTCTGTCTAAACCATCATCTTTTAAAAAGATGTTTTTCTGAAAAATGGTACTTTCGCCCCCGCTCTCCCCTACCTACTCACTTCTGTCAATCAGCTAAACCGCTTCCATCCGCAGCGCCGCGTCTCCAGCCTGTCCTGATTTATTCCCATCATCCTAGCCAAGGCTCGAAGTAAATCCTGAGTTTCCCACAGGTCATTGCCACATCATTGTTGCGCTGCTCACGTGCGCTCGTCTCATAAACACGATCCTCGAGACGTGACTCGGAGACAGCGGCGGGGACATTTATCCCTAGTGGAGTTAACAGGGTTCAGGGTGACCTTAACTTCCTGTCACCTGGAAAACACACACTTTCACCTCAGAGTGTTTCGTCTCGATTACTGTGAGGAAGCAGCCACCTGTCCACTGACAGAAATCAACACACACACACACACACACACACGAGTCTCAGCCTGAAAGTGCAGAATGGCTGTGGAAGGCCTTCAGACTCAGAGTAATGAGGAACAAACTAGATTCACAGGAGTTTGTCTTCAGAGGGAACGGTGTCTTTCGTCTTCGTCCGATATATGGGGAATTATTTTTGGCTATGCTTTGGATTAACATATGCTCTTAAACAATAAAGTTCTTTATTGGCATTGATGAACCATGAAGAACCTTGAACATCCATAGAACCTTTCAATTCCACAAACGATTCTTTAGATATCTTAACCCCCGTCCTTCCCTCGCAGGCCCAAGCCCTAAAATTATACTTAATTTTTTTTGTCCATGAACTTATTTTATTTCATTTTGATAATATTTTCTACATTTTTTTTAATGCAATTTTTTTGGAGATTTTTTGTTATTTTTTATGTTATTTACCTTTGAATTACTAGATTTGATCATTACATAATAAATTAATAGTAATTTAAGCACATTCCTCACATTATTTCAACTTAAATTCAAAATAACTCACAATTTCAAGCATAAACCTTTTAATTCACCTCAAAATATGTTACATTGGGTGTCTTTGCCGACCTCTTGAGGAAAAATAATAATATAATATGATATTTCATGACTTTAGATGGCGTTATAGCTCTATATGGAGCAGATGAGCTGTTCCGCTGGGTTCTAAAGCCAGTTCTTTAGCATTCAGATACACATGTAGACATTATAAAATAATTTTTTTGGTAACGTTTTAGCATTTTTAGTTTGAATTTTGAGCATTTTTAGGTTTTTCTATGTGTACTGAAGCATTCCTAAGGGGGTCAAATTGACCCGTGAGGGAAGGATTCAAATAGTTAAATAGTTCCAAAATACCTAAAGTTAAAAAATATCTAGTTTCAAAATACAAAAATTCCAAAATACATAGTTCCAAAATACCTAAAGTTCCAAAATAAATAGTTCCAAAATACCTAAAGTTCAAAAATATCTAGTTTCAAAATATGTAAAGTTCCTAAATAAATAGTTCCAAAATACCTAAAGTTCAAAAATATCTAGTTTCAAAATACAGAAAATTCCAAAATACATAGTTCCAAAATACCTAAAGTTCCAAAATAAATTGTTCCAAAATACCTTAAGTTAAAAAATATCTAGTTTCAAAATACAAAAATTCCAAAATACATAGTTCCAAAATACCTAAAGTTCCAAAATAAATAGTTCCAAAATACCTAAAATTCAAAAATATCTAGTTTCAAAATATGTAAAGTTCCTAAATAAATAGTTCCAAAATACCTAGTTAAAAAATATCTAGTTTCAAAATACAGAAAATTCCAAAATACATAGTTCCAAAATACCTAAAGTTCCAAAATAAATAGTTCCAAAATACCTTAAGTTAAAAAATATCTAGTTTCAAAATACAAAAATTCCAAAATACATAGTTCCAAAATACCTAAAGTTCCAAAATAAATAGTTCCAAAATACCTTAAGTTAAAAAATATCTAGTTTCAAAATACAAAAATTCCAAAATACATAGTTCCAAAATACCTAAAGTTCCAAAATACATAGTTCCAAAATACCTAAAGTTCCAAAATAAATAGTTCCAAAATACCTAAAGTTAAAAAAATCTAGTTTCAAAATATGTAAAGTTCCTAAATAAATAGTTCCAAAATACCTAAAGTTCAAAAATATCTAGTTTCAAAATACAGAAAATTCCAAAATACATAGTTCCTAAGGGGGTCAAATTGACCCGTGAGGGAAGGATTTGTTACTTTTTTAAATTTCAACCACAAAACTCCTCGAATCCATTAAAAAAAATATTATGTGTGTGTATTCGTGGTTCAAGTGCAACAAAAGTCCTAGGGTCTTGGACCCCTCTGATGAACACAATTTTTTTCAAGTTTCGGGTCAAAATGACCCAAGAAAAGGTAAACGTTCTTTAAAAACTGGTTCTTTTAGGAAGTTCACTGAAAGGTTGTTCAGTGGCATCGCTGTGTGTTGAAATAAACTTGACTTGTTCAGGGATCTTCAAGAGCACGTGCTACATCGACGTGCGCTGGTTCCCGTTCGACGTCCAGCGCTGCGACCTGAAGTTCGGCTCGTGGACGTACGGCGGATGGGCTCTGGACCTGCAGATGATGGAGGCCGACATCACCGGCTACATCGCCAACGGGGAATGGGATCTGGTCGGTGAGTTTCACACAGTCATGCTGACTCATTAACATAATCATAAACCATGTTATTTATGTGGTAATCTAACATACTGCAAGAAATACCGTGCTGGTACCATGGTAAATGCACTAAAACACGTAATATTACCATTGGACACTGTCCAGAACAGTTATTATTAATATATTAGTGGTAGTATTTATTAATAGTTTAAATAGTATTTAGTATATTTTCCATTTTCAAAGGTTCAATATTTTAGTTGTTTTGTCTTTTTTTTTACTAGTTTTTTTATTTAGTTTTTGTAATTTTATTCAGCTTAAACTAAACAAAAATTATATTTTAATTAATAGTTTTAATAATTTTGTGTTTTTGTCATTTTTATTAGTTTTTCTAAATGTTTAATTCATTTTTATTTCAGTTTTAGTCATTTTAGTATTTCAACTTAACAAAACAATTATTTTTAATCTAGTTTTAATAATATTGTTGTTGTTTTTTGTCAGTTGTATTAGTTTTTTTAAAGTATAATTGGTTTTTATACATTTTTATTTCAATTTTAATTTAAGTAATTTCATTACTTCAGCTTAAACTAAACAATTTATTAGGATTTTAGTTAAACAATTTTTAATATTTTTTATTTATTTATTTATATCAGTTTTTTTCTAAATGTGTAATTAATTTTTATTCACTTATTTCAGTTTTAGCCATTTTAGTTCAACTGAAACTAAAAGAATTTTATTTTAATCTTACAGTTTTAATAATTTTGTTGTATTTTGTACTTTTTATTAGTTTCTAAACGTCTATTTTTATTACATTATTTCAGTTTGAGTAATTTTACTACAACTTCAACATATCTAATTTTTATTTAGTTTCATTCCAATTTATGTAAATAATTTTGTTCATATATTTTTTCATTAATTTATTTGGTTCATATATTTAATTTTTTTGTATTATTTGGTTTTAGGTGAGACGTGTGATTTGAGATAGATGTTCAGAAACACTTGATGGAAAGTTTTACATAATAGCATCTGTCATGCATAATTTCATACGCTCACACAAAGATGAAGCAGATATTTCCCTCATAACTGCATGTGAAATCATTCATCCGTAAATAAAGTCAGTATTTCACAAGATGCCCTGATATGTATATGACATTTCTGTCTTCCAGAACATTATGAGCGCCAGAAGCTGGAGAGAGTTTGTATAGTTTCAGTGTTGCATAAAATAAATGATCAGGAAAAATAATTAGCTGGCCTCATAAAGCATATGCGTGAAGATGAGACTTGGGGACATAATTATTATAATCCTCAGGCTTGGATCAGGAATGTTTGGATATATAAACTTTGAAATATCTTGGTTATGATGTTTCTCTGTTGCTGGTGGTTCTGGTTTGAGTGCTGGTTCTGATGGTCTGATCGAGGCTGCTGATTGGATGAAGAGCGGTGCGATCACACACACCTGATGATCCGCTGATCCTGATGGGCATGATTTCTGTTCTCATACCAACAATATTTCTGAAAACGTGTCAAGAAGAGCCAAACCTGACCAAAAAATAAATGGTTTCCTGTTGCAAGTTTATTTATGATATTCAATGAAAGTCGATCCTTTAAAGCGAAAAAATACAGAATCTGTTGTGTTTGACTCATGTGTGTTTAAATTTTGTTGTTTATGATTGTGTTTGATTCAGTTCTGTTTGATTCCTTGATTTTGTTTGATTCTGTTATGTTTGATTTGGTTCTTTTTTGAGTCTGTTGTGCTTGATTCTGTTTGTTTGATGGATGGTTCCCCAGGTGTTGCTATGCGGTTGCTAGGGTTTTATGGGTGGTTGCTAGGGTGTTGCTATCCAGTTACTCGGCTGTTATTGGGAGGGGGGTTGACAGGGTGTTGCTATGCAGTTGCTAAGGTGTTATGGGAGGTTGACAGGGTGTTGCTATGCAGTTGCTAGGGTGTTCTGACCTGTGTGTGTGTGTGTGTGTGTTGTAGAGGTTCCAGGCAGGAGGAATGAGAAGTTCTACGACTGCTGTAAGGAGCCGTACCCTGACGTCACCTTCACCGTGGTCATGAGGAGGAGGACGCTTTACTACGGGCTGAACCTCCTGATCCCCTGTGTGCTCATCTCCACTCTCGCCCTGCTGGTGTTTCTGCTGCCCGCCGACTCCGGGGAGAAGATATCGCTGGGTCAGACGCATGCAAAACACACACCTCTTTACAGTTTTTTACAATCACTTTGCACCTATTTTCAGAACCTTGATGTCATTTTTCAAAACTCTAGACACAAAACTCAAAACGGTTATCACTTGTAACACAGGCTGTCTAATGTTCAAAACATTGCATTGTGCATTCACATCTTTAAAGAAAGCTTGCACTTGCACAATCATTGGTTCAAAAAACAAATTTACTGTGAAATACCATTGAAACATAACTATAGATCACCCACACACAAGCAACCGATAGTTTCACTGTCATTGTTCGTACAATCATTAAATATTGTAGAACAAAATAGGTGATACAGGTTTCATTATGGTACTACATGTACAGTAAATACATCTCTGTGAAAGCACTGGAGTAGTAGAGAGAATACAGACATAGTGGAATCATTGAACAAAGTGTGTAATATATTGATGCAAAACACTACAGTACAATCACAACATAGGTTTATTGGAATCAAATCAAAACAAAAATATAAAATATTAGGCTACATCCATGGATATTGTAGTCTAATTGGTTCATGCTCCACGCTAATTGGTGACAATGAATCTCGTTATCTTGAAACTTTCATGATTTACTGTAAACATGGAAGATTGTGTGTCTGTTTCCATACAACTATGCATTACAGTAAGAGTAATGCAACAGTTACTTATCATTTTGAGCAGTTGTATCAATTGATAGTTAGATCATTGTAAGGAAATGAATAGACACTCATTTGAAATGTAATGTGTGAATTGCCTTTTGAAATAGTAGTACTTTGATGTTAAGTTGTGTCATATTGAACAGGTGATTTTTGTTGAATGAACAAATGATCTAAGTTTTATGTGTATTGTATCCAAGCAATTGAGAAAAGGGTTAGAGTTTTGAAAAATGTGTATTTTGATCATTGGTTGTGAGTTTTGTGTCTAGAGTTGTGAAAAATGACATCAAGGTTCTGAAAATAGTAACAAAGTGATTGTAAAAAACTTTAATATGAGTAGTGAGACTGAATGAAGTGTTCTGCTTCTCAGATGTCTCTCCTGAGGAAAGTCTGCTCTTGCTGATAAATGGGTTTGAGTTCAGCAAACAAGAGCTGCTGATTTTACAATACAAGAGCGTCTAATGCTCAGTGTGTGTCCTTAATTTCATGGTGTCTTAGTTCTGTGAGTGAGTGTATGAGTGTGTGTGTGTGTGTGTGCGTGTATGAGTGCGTGTGTGAGTGAGTGAGTGAGTGAGTGTGTGTGTGTGTGTGTGAGTGAGTGAGTGTATGAGTGTGTAAGTGAGTGAGTGTGTGTGTGTGTGTGTGTTTGAGTGAGTGAGTGTGTGTGAGTGAGTGTGTAAGTGAGTGTTTGTGTGAGTGTGTGATTGTTTGAGTGAGTGAGTGAGTGAGTGAGTGAGTGAGTGTGTGTGTGTGTGTGAGTGTTTGAGTGAGTGAGTGTGTGTGTGTGTGTGAGTGAGTGTATGAGTGTGTGAGTGTGTAAGTGAGTGTGTGTGTGTGTGTGTGTGTGTGAGAGTGAGTGAGTGAGTGAGTGAGTGAGTGAGTGAGTGAGTGAGTGAGTGTGTGTGTGAGTGTGTGTGTGTGTGAGTGAGAGAGTGAGTAAGTGAGTGAGTGAGTGTGTGTGTGAGTGTTTGTGTGTGTGTGTGTGTGAGTGAGTGAGTGTTTGAGTGAGTGAGTGTGTGTGAGTGTGAGTGTATGACTGTGTAAGTGAGTGAGTGAGTGTGTGAGTGTTTGTGTGTGTGTGTGAGTGAGTGTTTGAGTGAGTGAGTGTGTGTGAGTGTTTGTGTGTGCTGTGTGTGTGAGTGAGTGAGTGTTTGAGTGAGTGAGTGTGTGTGAGTGTTTGTGTGTGTGTTTGTGTGTGCTGTGTGTGTGAGTGAGTGAGTGAGTGTTTGAGTGAGTATTAATAAATATAAAATAATGATATTTATTCATATACAGTACAATATATTCAAAGCATTATACTGTGTGTGTGTATATATATACACACATATATTTATATATATAATATAACATTAGAACATTTATTCCTAATAATTGCAATAAACTAATTTCTATTTCTACTAATTTAATTAACCTAATTGTATGCTATCTAGAGTTAGCCCAGGGCAATTCAGAAACTTTTTCAGAAACAGATACAAATAACTTATACAATTAATACTTATTTAATATGCATTAATATAGAATGGCTTTGCAGTGGCATGCAGTGAACACAGATTTAACGTGTTTTTCTGTCCTGTTCTTGTTGTTTTATGACAGGAATCACAGTGTTGCTGTCGCTCACCGTCTTCATGCTCCTGGTGGCGGAGATCATGCCCGCCACGTCAGATTCTGTGCCTCTGATTGGTGAGTGGAGCTGTCAATCACAGCGAGGGGGCGGGGCTTGATGTAATGAGTGGCTCAGATGGAGAGAAATGACGGAGAGACCCTGAAAATCGAGATGCCGCACATTCATGGTTGTGTATCATTCACGAACGGGCCTGTTAGAAACCAGTGCGATCATTCAGCCTAAAACATGACATGTCCGTTCACTAACACACACCGTCACAGAGGGAAAACCCATCCAACAACCTCAAACAAAAGACCATTTGACATGTTTGTCTGGAATCTGTTTGACTTTCATGATAACCATGCTGTTGTCACTTTACATTAATAGAGTATAAACTGCTGTCATGTGATTTTATTTCAAAAGCAGCCAATAACATCACATAAAAATAACCTAATTTTAAATGCGTCAAATGTTGGTTATCCTTATTTACTTTATTTTTGGTAAATCTGTATTCTATATAGTCCTGAATTTTGATATATGAATTTTCCTCTATTATAGGTCGCTTTGGATATAAGCATCTGCTAAATGCATAAATGTAAGTGATAACAGGGTTGCAAAACTTGCAAACTAAAAAAAGTAAATAGTAAATACAATTCGAATAAGATATTTGACACTTGTAGGACCAAAAACAGCATCACATGATGGAATTGTGTGAGGAACAGATGCAAATTTAAGTTATTATTATTAACTGAATAATTCCACCTCACCTACTATGATAAATCAGTTAAAATAAAGAGTCATTTTACCGTGACTCCTTTAGTGTGCAGGACTGAGAGATCTCGAGGGTTCGGGTTTGCTGAAGCTTGACGTTCTGTAATGGCACAGTGTGTTTCTCACAGCTCACACACACATCACTGAAGACCTCATGAATGCTTCATCTACATGCAGGGATTGTTGTGGATTCAGTGTGTGTGTGTGTGTGTGTTTCAGCTCAATATTTTGCGACCACCATGGTGATTGTGGGTCTGTCCGTCATCGCTACAGTCCTGGTGTTGCAGTATCACTATCACGATCCCGACGGAGCCAAGATGCCACGATGGGTAAGAGAATCTCAAGCAGATTTTTTTCTTTCTTTTTTGTATTTTGTTTTTATTTCATTATTAATATATTTTCATATTTTTTACTTTTTGCTACATTTATTTATTTGTTTGCCAAGTTGACTTTTTTTTTTACTTTTTAATTTTGTTTATTATTTATTTATTTATTAGTAAGTTATTTACTTGTTTGTTTCACTTTTTATTTAGTATTTAGTATTATTAACATACTTTTTATGTATTATACATTTTTCTACAAAAGCTTTACATTAGCATTTATGTATTTATTTATGCATTTATTTATTTATTTATTATCCCATGCCGTTTTTATTTTTATATATATGTATTTGTTTGTTTGTTTAGGTTTTTTATTTAATTTTCTTAATACATTCTTAATATATTTTAATTGTGTGTGTATTCTTGCTACTTAAGCTTTATATTACCAAAGCATTTATTTATTTGTTTGTTTGTTAATTTATTACGGGGGTTTCAATTTTTTTGTTTAATTTAAAATTTCGGTTGTTGTTTATTTATTAATTATTTGTTTGTTTGTACGTTTATTTGTTTGTTTCACTTTTTGTTTAGTTTTTTTTTTCATATATTATTAATATATTTTTGGTAATGTATTTTACATTTTTGCTACAAAAGCTTTACATTACTAAAGCATTGATTTATTTATCCCATTTTTATTTGTTTGTTTGTTTTCTTGTTTCATTTTTATTTAATACATTATTGCTATTTTTTTAAGTTTGTGTTTTAGGTATGGCTACAAAAATTATATGTATTTATTTATTTTATTGTAATTAGATTATTTTAGTAGTTTTATTATAGTACACTTAATATAATATTTACATTTACATAAAATATTTATTTATCCCATTTTTTATCTTAGTATTTAGTTTTTATTCCATACATTATTAATATAAATTTTTTTGAAATTAAATGTCCAAATACTTCTGGGGGCTACTGTATATACTGTATGTTTAATGTTATTGTTATATATATATATATTTTTTTTTCTATAATAAAAGTAAAGTTACAACAGTCTCTCTCACTCTGTACTAGAAGTGTTGAAGGTTAAAGTGTCTTTCCGAGCGCCGGTCGCCTCATTCTACAGAGGACGTGTGACATGAATCAGAATCGATTCACACCAAATGCATGAGACTGGACACTAGAAAACAAACTGTGTGCAAATTTGTTTTCTAGGCACACTCTTAACCTAGCCAACATGAAATATTCATTTCCATTTTTGCTTGAATAATATATGTCAGGCCTTCGTTGTGTAGAATGACAATGAATATTCAAGCACCAATTAAGAGGAAGCCGCGTACGCCTCCAGAAATCCTACAGCGTTATGATGAGTCACCTGCATTGATTCAGTCATATTGACTCAGCGAATCTTTGAGTTATGCAAATAGTGCTCAAACAAACTAATCACGAAACACAGTAGTATTTGCATGGATGAGATCGTTACTTCATTAGCCGTGTTTCCACCGCAGGAACTTTCCCCCAGAAACTAGGAACTTTTGTGGTGTGTTTCCACCGCAGGAACTAGGGTCTAGATGAAGCTCCGGGTCAATATTTCCCCCTCTGAAAATCCCTAATGCGAGGTGGTACTTTTTCAAAGTTCAGGAACTTTCAGAGGTGGAACTTGAGCGCTGAACATGCTGATTGGTTGAGTTCATGCCGCATTTTGATTGGTTGACTCCTTGCAGCATTTTGATTGGTTGACTCCTTGCAGCATTTTGATTGGTTGACTCCACGCAGCATTTTGATTGGTTGACTCCATGCAGCATTTTGATTGGTTGACTCCATGCAGCATTTTGATTGGTTGACTCCATGCAGCATTTTGATTGGTTGACTCCTCGCAGTATTTTGTTTGGTTGACTCCATGCAGCATTTTGATTGGTTGACTCCATGCAGCATTTTGATTGGTTGACTCCATGCAGCATTTTGATTGGTTGACTCCACGCAGCATTTTGATTGGTTGACTCCATGCAGCATTTTGATTGGTTGACTCCTCGCAGTATTTTGTTTGGTTGACTCCATGCAGCATTTTGATTGGTTGACTCCACGCAGCATTTTGATTGGTTGACTCCATGCAGCATTTTGATTGGTTGACTCCTCGCAGTATTTTGTTTGGTTGATTCCATGCAGCATTTTGATTGGTTGACTCCATGCAGCATTTTGATTGGTTGACTCCATGCAGCATTTTGATTGGTTGACTCCACGCAGTATTTTATTTCAACCACCATCTGTTGCGGTGCGTGCAGTAACAGTTGTTTGCTGTTCGAATCAACAATGAAGTTTAATAAATTTCCCCCAGACCTGTTGCTGTCTGCATTTCCACCGTGGTCTAAGGTATCGGGAAGATTAGGCAAATTAGTCTGGTGACGTAGGACTGAGCGCTACTTTACAGTTCCCGCTGGACTTCATCCTCTGAATTTAAGCTTAATAAAGCCTGATCCTCGTCGTCGGCCCATTTTTTAAACTCCATTGTTGATTCGAATAGCAAACAACTGTTACTGCACGCACCGCAACAGATGGTGGTTGAAATAAAATACTGCGTGGAGTCAACCAATCAAAATGCTGCATGGAGTCAACCAATCAAAATGCTGCATGGAGTCAACCAATCAAAATGCTGCATGGAGTCAACCAATCAAAATGCTGCATGGAGTCAACCAAACAAAATACTGCGAGGAGTCAACCAATCAAAATGCTGCATGGAGTCAACCAATCAGCATGTTCAGCGCCCAAGTCCCACCTCTGGAAGTTCCTGAACTTTGAAAAAGTACTACCTCGCAACCAGGGACTTTCGGAAGGGGGAAATATTGACCCGGAGCTTCATCTAGACACTGGTTCCTGCGGTTGAAACACATCCCAAAGTTCCTGGGGTGGAAACGCGGCCAATGAAAAGGTGCGAAAGCCCCTATTGTTCCGGGTTATTTCGGTGGAAACGCGGCTATTCATGCTTGTGTTTTGTTGTCTAGACCCGCGTTCTCCTCCTGAACTGGTGTGCCTGGTTTCTCCGCATGCGCCGGCCCGGCGAGGAGCGGATCCGTCTGGCGTGTCACAACAAACATCCCCGGCGTGGGAGTGTGTCGAGCGTGGATCTGTCGGTCAGCCAGGGGGCGCTGCAGCCCGCCAGCGGGAACATGCTGTACATCGGCTTCAGAGGGGTGGAGGGCGTCCATTACGCTCACGATTCTCACGGCGTGCTCTGCGGGCGTCTCGTGGCGTCCACTGAGGACGACGTGCTATTGCCGGGGTCGACGGTGCCGTCGCTAGGAGGCGGGGCTGGGATCAGGGGCGGAGTCAGTGGAGGTATCGTGGGTGGGGCTTTGGAATTGGAACTGGCCAAAATTCTAGAGGAAGTGAGGTATATCGCCAAACGATTTCGCGACCAGGACGAGGACGAGAATGTGTGTAACGAATGGAAGTTCGCGGCGGCGGTGATCGATCGTTTGTGCCTCATGGCGTTCTCTATTTTTACAATCCTCTGCACAATCGGGATCATGATGTCGGCACCTAATTTCGTGGAAGCCATCTCGAAAGATTTCTTCACCTGATGCCTGACGTTCTTGCCGCTAACTTCGTCATTTTACGTTTTTTGTACATCGCTCAGAAACGACGAGATTCTTGTGTAATGGGAGTGCAAATGACATGCTAACTAGGGCTGACCGAAATCACATTTATGCACTTTTTAATTGTCCTCATCTTATTAACTAGAGATGTTTTATTACATCTCTGATTTAAACGAGCAGCGTTAAGGCCTGTTCAAACCAAGGACGATAACTATAACAATAAAGATAAAGATATCGTCCACAGCATGACTATAAAGATATCGTCCACAGCATGACTATAACGATAAAGATACCGTACACAGCATAAAGATATCACCCACAGCATAACTATAACGATAAAGATATCGTCCACAGCATAACTATAATGATAAACATTTCGTCCACAGCATGACTATAACGATAAAGATATCGTCCACAGCATAACTATAATGATAAAGATATCATTCACAGCATAACTATAACGATAAACATTTCGTCCACAGCGTGACTATAATCATAAAGATATCGTCCACAGCATAACTATAAAGGTAAAGATATCATTCACAGCAATGCATAACTATAACGATAAAGATATCGTCCACAGCATAACTATAATGATAAAGATATCATTCACAGCATAACTATAACGATAAACATTTCGTCCACAACATAACTATAAAGATAAAGATATCGTCCACAGCATAACTATAAAGGTAAAGATATCATTCACAGCAATGCATAACTATAACGATAAAGATATCGTCCACAGCATAACTTTAAACATAAAGATTTCGTCCACAGCATGACTATAACGATAAAGATATCGTCCACAGCATAACTATAACGATAAAGATATCATCCACAGCATGACTATAACGATAAAGATATCATCCACAGCATAACTATAACGATAAAGATATCATCCACAGCATAACTATAACGATAAAGATATCATCCACAGCATAACTATAACGATAAAGATATCATCCACAGCATAACTATAACGATAAAAGATTTCGTCCACAGCATAACTATAACGATAAAGATTTCGTCCACAGCATAACTATAACGATAAAGATATCATCCACAGCATAACTATAACGATAAAGATATCGTCCACAGCATGACTATAACGATAAAAATACCGTACACAGCATAAAGATATCACCCACAGCATAACTATAACGATAAAGATATCGTCCACAGCATAACTATAATGATAAACATTTCGTCCACAGCATGACTATAACGATAAAGATATCGTCCACAGCATAACTATAATGATAAAGATATCATTCACAGCATAACTATAACGATAAACATTTCGTCCACAGCGTGACTATAATGATAAAGATATCGTCCACAGCATAACTATAAAGGTAAAGATATCATTCACAGCAATGCATAACTATAACGATAAAGATATCGTCCACAGCATAACTATAATGATAAAGATATCATTCACAGCATAACTATAACGATAAACATTTCGTCCACAACATAACTATAAAGATAAAGATATCGTCCACAGCATAACTATAAAGGTAAAGATATCATTCACAGCAATGCATAACTATAACGATAAAGATATCGTCCACAGCATAACTTTAAACATAAAGATTTCGTCCACAGCATGACTATAACGATAAAGATATCGTCCACAGCATAACTATAACGATAAAGATATCATCCACAGCATGACTATAACGATAAAGATATCATCCACAGCATAACTATAACGATAAAGATATCATCCACAGCATAACTATAACGATAAAGATATCATCCACAGCATAACTATAACGATAAAGATATCATCCACAGCATAACTATAACGATAAAGATTTCGTCCACAGCATAACTATAACGATAAAGATTTCGTCCACAGCATAACTATAACGATAAAGATATCATCCACAGCATAACTATAACGATAAAGATATCGTCCACAGCATAACTATAACGATAAAGATATCGTCCACAGCATAACTATAACGATAAAGATTTCGTCCACAGCATAACTATAACGATAAAGATATCGTCCACAGCATAACTTTAACCATAAAGATTTCGTCCACAGCATAACTTTAACCATAAAGATTTCGTCCACAGCATAACTATAACCATAAAGATTTCGTCCACAGCATAACTTTAACCATAAAGATTTCGTCCACAGCATAACTATAACGATAAAGATATCGTCTACAGCATAACTTTAACCATAAAGATTTCGTCCACAGCATGACTATAACCATAAAGATTACGTCCACAGCATGACTATAACGATAAAGATATCATCCACAGCATAACTATAACGATAAAGATATCATCAACAGCATAACTATAACGATAAAGATATCATCCACAGCATAACTATAACGATAAAGATATCATCCACAGCATAACTATAACGATAAAGATTTCGTCCACAGCATGACTATAACCATAAAGATTTCGTCCACAGCATAACTATAACGATAAAGATATCATCCACAGCATAACTATAATGATAAAGATATCATCCACAGCATAACTATAACGATAAAGATTTCGTCCACAGCATGACTATAACCATAAAGATTTCATCCACAGCATGACTATAACCATAAAGATATTGTCCACAGCATAACTTTAACCATAAAGATTTCGTCCACAGCATGACTATAACCATAAAGATTACGTCCACAGCATAACTATAACGATAAAGATATCATCCACAGCATAACTATAACGATAAAGATATCAACAGCATAACTATAACGATAAAGATATCATCCACAGCATAACTATAACGATAAAGATATCATCCACAGCATAACTATAACGATAAAGATTTCGTCCACAGCATAACTTTAACCATAAAGATTTCGTCCACAGCATAACTTTAACCATAAAGATTTCGTCCACAGCATAACTTTAACCATAAAGATTTCGTCCACAGCATAACTTTAACCATAAAGATTTCGTCCACAGCATAACTTTAACCATAAAGATTTCGTCCACAGCATGACTATAACGATAAAGATATCGTCCACAGCATAACTTTAACCATAAAGATTTCGTCCACAGCATGACTATAACCATAAAGATTACGTCCACAGCATAACTATAACGATAAAGATATCATCCACAGCATAACTATAACGATAAAGATATCATCAACAGCATAACTATAACGATAAAGATATCATCCACAGCATAACTATAACGATAAAGATATCTTCCACAGCATAATATAACGATAAAGATTTCGTCCACAGCATAACTTTAACCATAAAGATTTTGTCCACAGCATAACTTTAACCATAAAGATTTCGTCCACAGCATAACTATAACGATAAAGATATCGTCCACAGCATAACTTTAACCATAAAGATTTCGTCCACAGCATAACTTTAACCATAAAGATTTCGTCCACAGCATAACTATAACCATAAAGATTTCGTCCACAGCATGACTATAACGATAAAGATATCGTCCACAGCATAACTTTAACCATAAAGATTTCGTCCACAGCATAACTATAACGATAAAGATATCGTCCACAGCATAACTTTAACCATAAAGATTTCGTCCACAGCATAACTTTAACCATAAAGATTTCGTCCACAGCATAACTTTAACCATAAAGATTTCGTCCACAGCATGACTATAACGATAAAGATATCGTCCACAGCATAACTTTAACCATAAAGATATCGTCCACAGCACAACTATAACGATAAAGATATCATCTTTGCTTTTTAGAACGATTTTTTTTCCAGCTGATGAACGATAAAAACATTGACAGCCAATCAGAATCCATCCTGCTTTAAAGAGCTCGAGCATTTAAAGAGCCAGATGCCAAAACTGCAACGCACACTTATAATAAACAGAACGATACCATCTGCTGGTGTGGACACCAATATAGTTATCGTTATAGTTATCATTCATGGTGTGAACGGGCCTTTACTGTTAGTAAGTTTCATTTATTTCCATGAAGGATTTCTTGTCAAAGAATCATTTTGAACACGGATTCATCGATTTATTTGCATCACTTCAAAAGTCCGTGTGGCATTTTACATTTATTTAAACGTTTTAGTAAAATATGTGTAGGTAAATATTGCTGTAGATGTATTACGTTTGTGCATATATATATATATATATATATATATGCACAAACATGAAATATATATATATGAAAATCATTTAATGTTATTGTTCTTCAAATTCTAGATTATTATTAGATTTTAGTTAAATTTATATGAAACATTTTGAACCCGTTTGTCTGCATTGACTGAAATTATGGTTCTTCAGATTTTAAAGCAAGTACTGTGTTTATATATATTTATATATATATATATATATATTAAATGGTTGAAAAATAATACATTTTGTTAATTATACTGCTCAGCCCTAATACTACATGTGTTAACCCTTGATTGCTGTGATGTTGATAATGCATAAATAAACCGACAGGACTCTATGACTAATGATTCATTAAAAGATAAAGATGTTGGTTTGAGCTCAAGGTTATTAATATTAATGACTTACAAACAGCAATACAGGTTTTAATTGTGATATTCGTTGTATGTTGGTTCTCTGTGTAACTCTAGGTGAGATTTCATGTGAGTGTTGAAATGAAGTTTGATGTGTTTTTGATGTACAGTGGGGTCCAAAAGAGTAAGAAATTAATTGCTAAATTATATTATCATCATAACAATTAAGTCGTGTGTTCAAATCAAACCTGTTTTGGAACCATATTGTGTTGTTTGCTAGTTTTTCAGGCCTGATAGATTCACAAATGCTGTTTTACATGAAAACACTTTATCATTTGACTAATAAGCAGCACATAAACACACTCTTATGTGAATTACACACGCAACTATTTAAGAGTCATTTTGTCTTCTGGAAAATCAGTTTGAACCTTTTATAGACCTTTCCCAGCATCACATTTTCTTTCAGGTCTCCTGGTTTGTGAACCCTGTATAAATAAATGTATTTTTCTATTAAAATATTCTGTTTTATGTGTCTCAGAGGGTTTTGGTGGAAAGCATTTCAGAAGCTTATGGGGCTTTTGCATTTCAAACCAAGTCAAATTTTGTCAAATGCACTACAATACTGCTTTTTTTTTTCATAAGATGTGCCTTGTGTCTATTTATCAAAATGTTTATGTGCACTTTTAAAAAAAATTCATGTCTTCTGAAGCCTTTTGATAGTTTTGTTACTGGAAAGGATGGAAATTCAATGCATTGTTAATGCAAAATCTTCCTATCCGCAAGCACGGATGAGATT